CGCTTCTATTTATGGTGTCTATATATATATATATATATATATATATATATATATATATATAATCCCAAAATTCAAATAAATAACCAACAAAAAATAATTCATCGAGTTTCAATGCATTAACGTGCCTTATTTATTTATTTATAATATAGAATTTCTATAACTTTTGAGTTTTCAACTTATAATTAGTTGTAGAAATATTATTGCATGACCTTGTGAAGTGGGTTTGCTAGTGTATAATCGTAAATGTTGTGGATAGTATATAAATATTTAGTTGAAAGGGGAACGTTACATTAAAATAAAAATAATGAGGAAAGAGAACATAATTTAGGACCCATTAAGACCCAACCATTAAATTCGGTGGAAACAAATTAGGGACACTTTTATTTATGGCGCCATCCAATGGGCCCAAGGGCCTTTGTCGCATTTACACATGTACATAAACCCACATAAAATAATATATATATATGTATATATATATATAGGAAAATAATCTCAATTACGACTACAGGCCCATCCCTATGGAATGCCCACGACCCAACGCATTCTAATCATCCTTCTCTCAATTTAGTTATGAACCAATTCGAATCGGAACCAGAATTGAATGATCGAACCAAACCGGATATTATTCGGTTCTAATTTTGTATAATTGTTGTAAAATCCAATAAACCGTTTCTGGACCGTATTCGATAAATACTGAACCAAACCTGACAAATACCGAATCAAAACACAAATCATCCTTGCAAGTGAATATAAAGTTCCGATTCTTGTTTAGTAGTACTCACATAACAAAACGGTTGAACTAAACAAACACTAAAACCGAACCGATTAACATTCGAACCTAATTTAGTACAGTATTTCTAAAAATGATTAAACCGTTTCCAAATCCAATTCAACCAATACCGAATAGAAACCCGAAACGCCCGCCATTAATAGTAACACAGAAGCTACAATCACATTCCGTTTCGGTCGCATCTCATAGGGTCTTAGACATTGTAAGAACAAATATATAGATTCATTCACACACGAACCATGTTGGAAGAAAGCAAATCATAACACAAAACACGACAATAACAATGACAAGTCATATTGGTCTTAAGAGGTAAAAAAAAACACTTGCCCTTTGAAAAATTAATAGCTTAGCTTATGAGGATGCTGCATAATAAGCAAATAGTAGTAGATCCTGACCTGTCAGTGTCAATGAGTGGATGAAACACTATAGAGAGTAGCTTTCTTAAGTGGAGCCGGCCGGAGTCTTGGGTTCATCGCTGGACTTGGATGCTGGAGGAGGAGTGCCTTCTACACCCATCTCTGCTCTCAGATCGTCGATGCTTTGCTCGAGCTCATCGATCCTGCTCCCCATCTCATCGAGTGAAACATCAAATGTCAAGGAGAAATGATTAATGTTAGAGTATCGGATCTAACGGATATCACGAATGCAAATCCCGGAACCAACCCCTAGGAAGAGCAGTTCATATCATACGCAAACCACACAATGATTTTTCAAATTCCACTCAGTAGATTTTCAATGAAAAAGGTTTCGTTTTTTTCTCACAATAGCATGAAATGAAGGCCCAGGATCAGGATTTAGCTCTTAAGAGATTAAATTTCAACTATCCTAAAAGAAGCTTCTTTCAATTAAAACCAAAGGTTTATAGGAGGATATTCTTCGTAATAATGGAGTCCGACATCGTCTGGAACCTGGATTGCTGACACACAAATCGAACCAAGTTAGCGAAAATCTACCTACCAAGGCTGTAAACCTAAAAAAGATAGAAGAATTGTCCAACCCACCATCTGCTGCAGAAGATTCTGGACCTGCAGATGAGAATGAAACGTTCAGCAAAATTGAGACTGTCTCAAAAGCAGAAGCAGACTTGGACCAACTAGAGAATTGGGTTATGGATGGGGGGGGGGGGGGA